AAAATGACCTCAAATCTATGCTTATGAAGATGGTAGAGGCCTTTAAGGAGGAAACATCCCTCAACAAAAATACAATCAAACAAATAGAGGCCTTTACAGAAAACAAAAACAAAAACATCACCTAAAGAAATAAAGGAAAATACAATCAAACAGGAAAAGGAAATGAATAAAATAGCTCAACGCCTGAAAATGGAAATATAATCAATGAAGAAAACAGAAACTGAGGAAATCCTGGAGATAGAAAACTTGGAAAGAGAACAGCAACCATGGAGGTAAGCATCACCAAAAGAATTTAAGAGATTGAGGGCAGATCTCAGGCACAGAAGACACAATGAAAGAAATTGATACATCTGTCAAAGAAAACTTTAAGTTGCAAAAAACTACTGATACAAAACAACTTCAAGAAATCTAGAACACCATGAGAAGACAAAACCTAAAAATAATAGAAAGAGAAGAAAAGATGTACAGCTCCAAGAATCAGCAAATATTTTTTAACAAAATCATAAAAGAAAAATTTCACAACCTAAAGGAGATGCTCTTAAACATACAGAAGACTTACAGAACACCAAATAGATTAGACCAGAAAAGAAATTCCTCCTGCCATATAATAACCAAAACACGAAAGATAGAGAAAAAAAGAAAAAAAAAATATTAAAAGCTGCAATGGAAAAAGGCCAAGTAACATATAAAGACAGAACTATCAGAATCATGCCTGACTTCTCAACAGACTGTAAAAGTCAGAAGGGCCTGGGCAGACTCTAAGAGACGACAGATATCAGCCCAGACTACTATACCCAACAAAGCTTTCAATCACCATAGATGGAGAAAACAAGATATTCCATGACAAAACCAAATTAAACAATATCTATGTACAAACTTAGCCCTACAGAAGATACCAGAAAACTCTAACTCAGGGAGGTTAACTACTACCAAGAACACAAAGGATATAAATAACTTCACCAAAAGAAGGCAAACACACAAACACACTGCCATCACCAATATCATAATAAAAGGAATCAACTGCTCAATAATATTTCTCAACATCAATGGACTCAACTCTCCAAAAAAAAGGACACTGGCTAATAGAATGGAGGTGTAAACAGGACCCAGCATTCTACTGCATATAAGAAACATACCTCAGCAACAAATATAGATGTTACCTTAGAGTAAAGGGCTTAAAAAGAGGTTTTTCCAAGCAAACAGACCCAAGAAACAAGATGGAGCAGTCATCCTAACATGTATTAAAATATACTTTCATGCCAAATTAATCAAAAGAGATGAGGAAAGATACTTCATTCTTAAAGAAAGAATCCACCAAGAGGACATCTCAATTCTGAATACCAATGCCCCAAATATAAGGGCACCCACATTTGTAAAAGAAATATTACTAAAGCTTAATCACACATCAATCCCCACACATTCATAGTGGGAGACTTCAACTCTCTACTCTTAACAAGCATTGAACTAACATGTCACGAATCAAATGGACCTCAAGATGATCTACAGAACTTTTCACTCAAACACAAAAGCATAGCTTTTCAGCACTACATGGAACCTTCTCCAAAACAAGTAACAAGGAAGACCCAAGGACAGATACTTAAATCTCACTCAGAAGGGGAAAAAAGAACAGACAGTGAGAAGTGGCTGAAGAGAGGAAACAAGGTAGGAGATTAATCATTGAGAGAATTTAGGGTGGTAATAAGGCCTGGTTAGAGTGGGAGAGGGGAAGGACAGAGGGCCTGCAGAGAGAAGAGAAACTGTGGGTGGAGATTTCTCTGTGACAAGTTGGAGACCTAAGACAGAGTAGGCTTCTGGGAAAACATGGGAGTGACTCTGAGTGAGACTCCTAGTAGCAGGGGACATGGAGACTGAAGAGGACACCTGCTAACTAGATAGGACTTAGTGGATGCATGGGAAAACCAAAAAACTCACAAAAACCTCACCCCAAAATTTACCCTGCCTACAAGATGTGCAGCAACTGAGAGAATGTCCAACCAATGCTTGGCCCAACCTGAGACCTACCGCATGGAGACAGCCAACCCGACACTATGAAAGATACTCTGCTTTGCTCGCAGATGAGCCTAGCATAGCTGTCCTCTGAAAGGTTCCACCCAGCAGTGGATAGAAACAGATGCTCAGACTCACAGCCAAACATTGTGCAAAGCATAGGGAGTCTTGCGGAAAAGTCAAAGAAATGACAGAACGACCAGGAGGTGGCAGGAGCTCTACAAGAAGACTAACAGAGCCAACTAATCAGGGCCCAGAAGTCTTGCAGAGACTGAAGCACCCAACCAAAGACTGTGCATGGATTGGACCTAGGCCCCCTACATAGATGTAGCCAATGGGCAGTTCGGATTTCATGTGTTCCCTAGTGAGGGGAAAGGGGTCTGTCTTTGACATGGACTCTATTGCCTGATTTTTGACCACTTCCCTTTGGCAAAGCTGTCTCATTAGACTATAAGGGAAGAGGATGTGCTCATTCCTGATGCAACTTGGTGAGCTAGGGTGGGTTGGTAGGGTAGGATTCTCTTTTTCTAAAGAATAGAGGAAGGGGGTAGGATAGGAAGGGTGGCACCAAGAGCAGAGAAGAGAGGGGGCTCAATCTGGATGTAAAGTAAATAAATAATTACAAAAAGAAACCACACCAAAAAAACTGACTTAATGTTATAATGTAAAACTCTGAAAAACAAAATAACCCAGTCAATTAATGAAATAGGTAGAAAGAAAACATTACAAATAATTAACAAATAAAAAGCTGGTTCTTTAAAAAGATAAACTAGATTGAGAGACACTTGGTCCAACTAACCAAAATAAACAAAGAGAAGAATCAAATGAATAGGATTGGAAATAAACAGGGAACTATCACAACAGACAAGAAAGGAATTCAGAATGTGATAAGGAAATGAATTAAAAACCAGCATTCCATTAAACTAGAAAAACCAAAAGAAACTAGAACACTGAAAGTACTAGAAGAAAACACAGTCAGTACTTTACATGATATATGTATAGGAAAAGAATTGAGTTGTAAAGGCATAAGTCTGGTGCTTGGTATTTGCCTGTTAGTTTGGTCCCTAAGGTCTGCTTGCTGTTTTTTAGATGACACTCGTGTACCCCAAAATGACATTTGTAACCTTGACTCCAAAATTATTCTTGATTGGCTGAGTGAATGCCTATACACCGGGCATGGCAAATGTGAGGTAGTTGTGGCCTAATTTTGTGGGCTTTGAGGAGAGAAGGATCACAGGAAGAAGAGAGACAGGGAGAAGAAAGCTGAGTCTCCATGGGATAGGTGAAGAACCATGTGGGTCAGGAAAAGTGAGCTCTGAGAATGGCAAGGAGGGGAACAGCTCAGGTGGAAAGCATGTACAAGTATTTGTGGGGATATTGGATGGGAAGTAGCCCAGGTAGGAATGATTAAGGCAGATGGCATGGGGTGTGGGGCTGGGTGGTAAGTAGATAGTTTAGGGGGTTAACATCTGCCCAGACCCTGGTAAGATAAGGCTTATTTAAAATCGATCAGGTGCCTTTTATTGTTTGATAGTGGGTTAAATAAAACTGCCATAATAATTACAGCAATAATGTCTGAGTAAATCATAAGGAATCATACTATTAACTACCTGCTTAACTGTAATTTTGCTACTGTTGTGAATCATAATGTAAATATCTGCATTATTCTCATGGTCTTAGATCTAAAAGGGTCATTTGACTCCCAAAAATGTTGTGACCCACAAGTTGAGAGCCCCTGCTATAATACATACATTGTACTGCATACACTGTAACAGCCTATTCTTACTCCCCTTAGTTGTCCCCCAGAGTTGGAAGGTAAGTATTGCTGAAGACACCATGTACTTCAGACACAGGGCCCTGGTGACCCTGAGCTGGAACGGACTTGATTGAATGTGTGCCTCCTTCCTAAAGACTAGCTTCCATGCTATCAGAAGAAGCCATACAAGGTTTGAAGGAAGAGAAGCAATATGCATTTGCTATGATGCCAATGAGCCACAATGATGATCAACATGGCACAGTAACTCTAAGGGTGCAGTAATGGCACACATAACCAGACAGTAATCAACAGCTCTTTAATTGAATTTAAGACCCACCCAATAAGAGGAAAATAATGCCTGGCAATGGAAACCCGGACAACTACTCAGGGCTAGTAAGATGGATCTTAGAGGAGAGCCTTTAACCCTCACAGAGCCTAAGCACTCTCTATAAACATTTGTCCTTATATCCACAGATAACCATAATCTTCACCCTTATCAAGTAAAGTTCTTTTGAAAACAGGAAACAGACTTGGAGACAGTTTGTTATAGCAAACTACAATCAATCAAAATGCAAAGCTGAGTAGGCTGTATTTACGAAACAACCCCCATCCCAACTCTGAGCACAGATATGTAACAACAATTAATAGAAAAAAGGTTATGAATTTGAAAAACAGCAAGGAGGGTTTTGAGTGATAAAGTGAAAGCAGTAAATGGTGTAATAATACCATAATCTCAAAAAATAAACTTTTTTTTAAAAAGAGTGAACAAAGCAATTAATATTCTTGGTCCTTTAGGACTTATAAGGTAAGAGTTTCCACATTCTCAAGCAATCTGACTGCAGCTTTCTAGGAGTGAAATGTTTTGAGTTCGTTTTTGAGTCTCATTCCAACCTATTTTAATACATTACACATACACAGAAAATGTTCTATTTTATAATCCTAGTAAGAAATTGGTGTGTACATATGTCTACATGTGTTGGGTACATGGGAGTTTTCCTATGGTGTCCTTCTAGCCATGTGTTCATGGTCACACCTACTAAGCACTTTGTTATTCTTAGTAAGATGGTTTAGGAATATCCTACCTGTATGTGCTTTTTAATACGAAAAAATATTTAAGACCCTGAAAAACATAAGCTTCCTTAGGTAGAAGATAGTACATAACATTCAAATTTTCAGTTAAAGCAGCACATTAAAGCAGGCCTTTTTGAGAAGGCTCAAATAAAACCAAACAAGGAAATAAATTTTGAATAAGTGGTAACAACTTTATTTTAACTCAACATGCTGAAACACAAAATCTGTTTCCAACATTAACACAAATAGTATGTATCTCATCATAAAACACCAGTTGATTAAATAAAGGCCAGAAAGTTAAATGTTTATACATCTGAGTCTTGAAAGTCCTTCTGAACTAATAATTAAGTAATTTTAGCAGAACTTTATTTCCATTAATGGGCTCAAGTGATGCTAAATTAACTAGTTATAGTATACAATAAGCTTTACTACCACGAAAATATTTAAATATAAGTATTCCTTCTCAGACATAAATTTCACATACAACAACAGGAGATACATTGTGATTTCATTCCTAGTGAAGAAGTCTTGCATTTGAGGCACTAAGTATTTTTACAGCTAGACCTAACATTTACATCGTTCCATGAACACTTAAAATTGAGCTCACAATCTTTTTATAAAAAAGTTGTAAAATACTCTCATGTGTGCTAAAAGTGCTGTATTTATTTTCTGAGAACAATGAAACCCACTCACTCGCCCACCTATCTCTCTCAAGAACACAACAAATATTTTCATTGTAACCATCAAAGACCATGTATGTTCAAGGCAGATTAGTTTATTTTTTCATGAACATGTGACTTGCAGTAAAATTGCTGAGTTAGATTTTCATAAAACTTATATCCAAGTCTTTGTTGCATTTTTGTAACAATGAATGGGATCTATGATCCCATTTATTGTGAGTGTTGATAAGCACTATATCACTGAGTCACACTCAAGTCCTTATCTATAATTTTATATAAAAACTGCTTAGAATGTATGTACAAAATTTTAAATGGGCAAATAAATATTTTTCACAATTTAAACTCTCAATTAGATCTAGTTAAAAATAAAACAATGATGTTTATGACACTTTAAAGATATTTAAAGCAATTATTTTAAATTATTTTAAAGCTTAATTATACTTGATATCTTAAAACAGCACTGTTTTTCCTATTTTATCATGCAGAATGCTGGTAATATTTTTGAGAATTTCACTGTCTTCTGGCAAGCTACTGTCTTCTCAAATAAAGCACATTTAACTGAGATATTTCAATTAATCTGAACTTTCGGCATATTTAAGTAAGTCCTATTTTCATAAATTCATTTTTAAACATATTACACATAGCTCACGGGAATACAGATACAAATACATACACACCTCACACAAATGACCAAATTTCATTCAAAGTTCTCCAATTACTGTTTGAAGTTAGTGACATAAAAATACTTAAGGAGGTAACATTAGTAAGCCATCTTATGGCACCTTCATATTTGTGCTCCAAATATCAAAACACATTCAATGTAAAAAATGAAAAAGGCACAAATATAGTGTTCCTAAATCTTAGTCTAAAGAATGGTTTTCCAATGGATGCATTTTTGAATTGTAATATTTAAAACCCCTTACTGTGTTCTGAAAAAAGCCTTGTTTAGGTGACTAGAGAGTAATAGAAGTAAATTGGTAACTTAAAAGACAAAGAATGCATTAGGAAGAAATTGTACCTATTTTGACCAAGTTGTATATAGTTTAATAAATAGGATAATCATAGGGGAAATGCACTCTGATAAGAAAATATTAATAGCATTTTATCACTGACTCAAGAACCAATACTACTAAAATATACATAAAAACATAAACTATTATATGATTCTATGAGTATAATGGTAGGTACTGTATCATCTGAAAAATGGACATTTCAGCAAACATTGATATTTATAGAGCACAGTGTTTGACATTTTTTGGTAGAAAATATGTTAGCAAACTAAAAACAAAAATATTTATAAGAAAATCCTGTTAAGATTATTAATAAATGTTAATGTTCACTATATGGCATTACTACTGATTTTATTGTGGTTAGAAATGTAGACCAAATCACTGAATCGTTTTACAATGTGTGGTACATAGACTTCAGTGTTTTAATGATATGCAACAATGTATTCTACAGCTGAGTGGAATCCTTGTTTTTTAGTCAGACCATGGGAATATCTTATATTAAAAGTATGTGTGTGTATTTTAAAATGGTACAATGTTAATATAACAGGCTTTGTATTACAATAAAATTCAGGGAATAAATTTTTGCTTGTCATGATTCTCTTATAGAGGGTGAAGCCCATTGTCAGTTGAAAAAATTTCTTATTCCAAATAATTCTTTCCATAAAGTGTAGTAAAAGAAGAGTATTAAGTGAAAAATTGGAACTCCAGAGAAAACCTGTTAGGAGGTAAGTGTAAGAAAGGAAACAGAGGATCAGGTACTTGGAATAGAAATGGCTAACCATGCACGGAGAGCCATGGAAACAGCTGCACGTTTTAGGGTTCAAAGTTGGAGAAAAATTTATTCAATTTTGAAAGAAGATGCTAATAAGATAATGTTTTTAGACATTCAATTCTTACCAAATAATTGTTAACATAACAAAGACTCAAACTAAAATATCTAAAAATATGATCTCTGTTTGTTTGCTCTTGAGAACTAATGCTTATCTGACAGTATTGTTTCAATATAAGGATTTTAAGATTGGTTTCAGTTAATATCTAACAAAGGTGATAGTAAAAATAAAGTCTATTTTAAAACCATAATGTTACTTTTACTGAATTTTAAGACTAAAGAAACAATCACACAAATTTAAATATGAAGAATAAAGGTATATAGGCAAAATACAGGCATATATACCTGTTTTCAGTAATATGGTCTGTCTTTATGTGGAAAGTACATTACCAATGCTTCAGTCATATACGATATGACAATGACCACTGCTTTTTCTCTAGGGATAATTCACCAAAAAAAGATCTCACAACTATCAAATTCCAAATATTTGTGTGTTTAAAGCTAAACTCCTAATAAAGAAATGGCTCATTAAAAATAGTTGGTAACATTTATCCTGTTAACATTATGCAAAATTTCAAGAATCTACTATGTTAGCAACTGAACCATCAAGGAGAAAAGAAAGGGAAATAAAGTTCCCTAGTATGTCTGCTCATACTCTCAGAGGCTTCTCTGGTTTCCCACCACCTCCTACAGGCAAATAGAATACATTCATTGCTTAAAAAGAAGCAGACTCTACAGGACTCATTCATTGTTAGGTGCCTTTTCCAAGTGTGATAAAACAGTAATAAATCCAATAATGATTACTTGAAATCCAAATTAATTTATCTGTAGTCAAGCAGATTTTTATCTATTATCACAAACATCCAAGTTGGATCCATGTGTCATAAAAACTTTTAAATGTTAAAACATAATTATACCTTATTAATCCCCACAAAAGAAGAAAATATATATGTACCATTCATCATAAAAAATTTCACATTAAAAGTGCATATATATCTTTCTTAATTGGCCCACTCATGACACTGACATTTAGTCATCCTGACTTTAACATCTACTAAATTATTCTTTCAAATGTAAGTCATTATAAATTTAAAACGTTAGCAAGAACCATGCTTTCTTTTTACTGAAATTTTAACCTCAAATTATTTCTCAATCATTGCAAATGTGCATAAGCCCAGTTTCTTGAGCAGTTAATATACAAACACCACAAACATTACTAAAGATTAGGTCAACTCATTGCTATCTGCCCCCTGAACTGAAAAATAAATTAAAGCGGAGCAGTGTATGGCCATCACTTACCTGAATGGTAATAGGCTCTTTAGTGTCTACACAACTGAGACTGGAGGCACCACTGGCAATCTCCAAATCCAACAGAACCTAGTTTTATACTTGGAGGTCATATAGAACAAAACCTATAAAATTATTTTGTTTCCAAAATAATGGAAGATTCTTTGAAACTCAGTATCTTCATTTATCAGTATTACTGCATTGTGGAGCTAGTGCAATCTTGCATAGCCTTGGCAAACTGACAAGGCACAATAAAAAAATTAAACTACTATATAAACAAGAGAAGTCACTGAAGATAATTTAAGGCCTTGAAGTGAATTAATCAGTCTGATTTAAAGCTGAAGTATAAACCATAAATTTTCCACCTGAAAGTAAACAATATGCTTCTCCAGCTTTCATTCTGTGGACAAGAGACAGAAACAACTGTTGCTTATGGTTTGCTCTGGAATCCTTCTGGACCTGGGGTAGTAAAGGCAAATACATTTTCCTACTGTCCATGGAAGACTCAAGACTGCTTTAGCCTTTTGCGTGGAATACCAAACTGTGGACACTGTGCAGACGCTAGTGCGCGGAAGGCTTCTGCCACTAAATGAGGATGCGACTGAATCATGGCCTTCCACCCTGATGTTTCCATTATGTCAGTTGCTTGGCTGAAAAAGAAGATTAAGTGATGTTTACTGAAAGGACACTTCTCAAATATACTGTTGAGCTATCAGTTTTTGTTACTTTAACTTATGGATTTTAAAATTTTAGATACTCTACTTCTTTCCATGTATTTACCTGAATGTTTAAAAACATCTTTTTCAGTCAAAACTGAATTGATTTTTCTGCAAGTTTGAACCCTGAGACATACAGTTGTTCCCATGGCTCTCCACTCATGGTTAGCCATTTCCATCCAAGTCCCTGTTCCCCTCTTCCCATTCTTATACTTATCTGCACAGGTTTTCTCTGCAGTTCCAAGTTTTCACTGAATATTCTTCTTCTTTTACTACACTATGCACTCTATCTCAACTAGTTGTCACATTTCTCATAATCACCGCCAGAAGTTAAGTAAATCCTAGTGCTTCCCCACATGAATAATCATCAATCATTTGTTCTTTCTATCTGAATGAGCTTCAAGTCTCACAAATTCAGCATTGTACCCTAAGAACTCGTCATCTTTCTCCTTAAGTCTCAAATTGTTTGTTCTTCACTTGGCTGAAGCTTTCACTGCTGCCCAGTGACTCACATTAAATATTCAGGAGCCATTCTAGAAGCAGTCCTCTAACTAGGCATCAAAGTCCCACTTTAATTCCAAATGCCACCAAGAACCCATAAATTAATCCTCATAATCTCACAATTCCATTATTATCACATTTCCTAATTTGTATTTAATCTCCTGTATTGTTCCTCTTATTGCAGCTTCGAGAATGTTGCTGTAGTTCAGCAATATGACTATATTATACTGTTTTCCACTTTTCTTTTCACGACATTTAAGTTTTAAAAATGAGAAATATGGTTCAATTCTTGCTATAACTTTGCATTCCCATTCCTATGAGTCAGTTTCTCTTTTACTGTTTTAAAGTGTCCTTTTGATAATTTTCAAAAGTAGAATTTATGGGTTAATTTGTAAAATTAATGAAAACCTAACGAAAAAAGTCTTTAATTTTTCAGCTCTTTCTTTTGTTATTTCAAATAATTACAAAGAATACTCTAAAATAAGAGAAGGGAAAAATAAGAAAATTAATTACTTCTAATATAAAGAATATAAAGATCTAGGCTTAGCAGAACTTAGCAATCATCCAATATTTTCACAATCAACATGCTACTGATTTAAATAATAGGTAAGTTAATATGTAATACAAGGTTTCTGGCTGATTTAAATGTTAATAAGTTAGTTTTTGAGGTAGAGGAGAAAGTATGAGTTTGATGATGGTCTAGAATACACAGTAAGACTTTAACTAAAAAAATAAGCAAATAAACAAACCCAACAAAAAATAATGAGTTTCATGGGCCTCATGAAGTGTTTCTAGTCTGTAATCCTATTTGAGAAACTAGGGCAGAAAGAGTCAAATATGAAGCTAGCCTAAAAAACTACTAAGACCTTGCCTCAAAATTAAATTTTGAAGAGTTAAGATTTAGATAGTTCTGTGGTAGGGTCCCTAGGTAGCATGTTCAAGACCTGGGGTTCAATCAATAAGCATTATCAAAATCAGAAAGAAAAAAAGAAAAGAAAAGAAAAGAAAAGAAAAGAAAAGAAAAGAAAAGAAAAGAAAAGAAAAAGAAAGAAAGAAAGAAAGAAAGAAAGAAAGAAAGAAAGAAAGAAAGAAAGACTTCCAAGGCAAATCTTGAGGACTTAGATCTTCTTTAACACTTTTGGAAGGAACAGAGCTCAGCTATCTAGCAATCCCTGAACTCAGGTATATACTATGTGTGTAAAATGCATGTGCGTGTATTCAACAAACGAACAGCCAGGCATGATGACACTCTCCTATAACCCCAGCACTTGGGGAGAAAGAGGCAGGGAGGATCTCTTGTGAGTTTGAGGTCAGCCTGGTCTAAAAAGTGAGTCCAAGACAGCCAAAGCTACACAGAGAAACCCTGTCTCGGAAAAAAAAAAAAAAAAAAATCATTCATCCAGCCAGGCAGTGGTGGCCCACACCTTTAATCCCAGCACTCAGGAGGCAGAGGCAGAGGCAGAGGCAGATGGATCACTCTGAATTCAAGGCCAGCCTGGTTGACAGAACTAGTTCCAGGACAGCCAGGGCTACACAAAGAAACCCAATCTTGGAAAAAAAAAAAGAGCACGCATCCCAGTTTGCATGAAAAGCCAAACTTCAAAGAATTTAGTAAAGATAGTGAAATTGTTATTTTTTTTTAAATAACTGACAGCTTCATCAGGAGCCACACTTATTGTTCATGAGCAAAAGGATATACAAACACTTTATTGAATTTATGCAGATGGTAACTGATGCCATCTTACTTGTTCCAGTTTTTCCCATCCTTACATCCAAGTTGTCGAAGAACACTGCACCTGCATTGAAGATTTAAACAGAGCTTAAGAAAAGTCCAGTGAAAACATGTCAAATGCATCATGTCCAGTGAAATGAAAGATAGCTTACCTATTAATAAAGTCTATTGCCTGGGCTTTCAACTGTTCTGCACTGTGCAAATCTGCAAGGATAAGGGTATCAGCAACATTTTCTACTGAGAGGCTACTACACAAAGCTTCTTCACACATGACCTTCAGTCGTCCCAGTGCATACTACTCAAAAGAAAACATAATTATTAAACATTTCCATTTATAGAGCAAATACATGATATTTGCAACTTAGCAGATAAAGTTCAAGAAAATTTTTTTGAACTAACATTATTTTAAACTAATAAACTGTTGCTTTAGCTTATGAGGAACATGTAAATACATGTATTTAGGATAAATAAATTGCTTTAGAAAAATTTTTTAACTGCAAAAATGGTGAATTTTAAATTACAACTCATGCAAGACAGTTTTCTTCATCATCAGTTATCCTAAAGAGTATGTTGTCAGGTAAACATTTATCTCAACTCTTGTCTTCCCAAAGCAAAAAAAATTCAGCTAACGACCATTTAGGCTGTATTTTATTTAGTAAAAGAAAGCAAAGTAATGAACACATTCTAAAGAAAGATCTGAGTGGGACTGTCTTTACGTAGGGGAAGCATAAGTATTTGCATTGTAGGTTTTTACAGTCCCTACTTCTTGTGACATCATTTTAAACTTTCTCCTTCTGGGTAACCTTCACTTCACCTGAGCTGACTGTATACAGTCTGGAGGCAAGGTGCCTTTGTTTCAAATTTCCTACTTATTAGCTCTTTACTGATGAGCATTTATACCATTGTGAAAATTGCCCTAATATCACAATTTCTAATTTGGTGGCAAGACCCCAAGCTCAGCTTTAAGGATGATGGACTACATCATTCCACTACCAGGAGACAATAGTTACCAAGCTATGGCTTAGCTAGTTCCCTGCCTACTCAGTGTGAATGCACCTAACTTCAGAAGTAGTGGCTGTCCAGAACACTGCCCTCCCTCTTGTTCACATGTGCTGTTGGTTACCTACTATCACAATTCACTTTCTTTTCTACTACTTCACACTTAGTTGTTGCATACTATATTTATTTGGCCAATATTCAATCTTGAAGAATGACCATAGAGAGCTAATTAAATGTTGAAAACAACTATTTTTTGCAGCTGAATAATACACCAGTTGATGAACATTTGTACTTGTTGCCAGTTCTTAACTATTATAGTTATAAATACTCACATAAATCTTAAATCAGAATATATGTATGTTTTGGAAGGTACAGGAGATAAAGGTCTTACTCATTAATTTTCTAAAGTAGTTATATCATTCCATACTATCAGCAGTGTTCGAGAATTCTAATTCTTCCAGATCTTTGAAAAGTCTTGTACAGTCTTTGTAATTTTAGCTATTATAACACGTGTGTAGAAGCACATCCCATTTGGTTAAGGATACTGGGCATCTTAATGCAATTCAATTCATTGGTTTTATTTGAGAAGTATCTATTTAAACATTATTTACTCTTAAAAATAACATTTCTTTTTAAATGGTCTGTACATAGTCTGAATACAAAAGCTCTACGTATAAGTACCATGAATATGTTTTTAAGATTGAGAAGCATTTTATATACCCCTTCTTCCATAAGACTCTGTGCACTCTGTTTAAAGTTTGGCTGTGAGTCTCTGCATCTGCTTCAATCCCCTACTGGGTGGATTCTTTTAGAGGGTAACTGTGGTAGGCTCCAGTCCTGTTTCCTCTCTTCTACTGCCTCCAGTATCTATCCTGTTTTCCGTTTTGAAAGAGAATTAAGTATCTTTCTGAAGATCCTCCTTGTTCTTCAGCTTCTTTTAGTCTGTAGATTTTAGTATGTTTATCCTATATTATATGGCTAATCTCCACTTAGGAACCACACAAGGAGACCAACAAAGCCAAAAAAGAAGCAGGGCCCAGGGAGGACTGCAGATTGATGCAACAATCAAAGACTATACATAGAGAGGACCTAGACCCCCTGCTCAGATGTAGCTCATAGACAGCTCAGTCTCCATGTGGATTCCCTAGTAAGAGATGATACAGTCTCTCATATGAACTCGGTTGCCTGCTCCTTGATCACTTCTCCCTGGTGGGGCGACCTAGCCAGCCCACAGAGGAAGAGGAATCAGGTGGTCCTGATGGGATCTAATAGATGAGAGTCAGACAGTAGGGAAGGAAGACTTCCCCTATCAGTTGACTAGGGAAGAGGGATAGGGGAGGAAGAGTGGGACTGGGAGGAGATGAGGAAGGGGCTACAACCGGGATACAAAGTCAGTAAATTGTAAATAATAATAACAATAAAAGGATTGAGAACCATGGGATTCAAAACTTTCTGACATTTTTGTAGTTTCCCTGTGTTCAAAAAGGCAAAATATTTACAATGCAACAAAATAAAATTATTAATAATTTTCCTTTCTAAACTATCATATTAAAATAAATGTATTTATTTTAGAGTTATAGAACGGAAAAACCAAAAAAGTTATGCAGTGCACCTTAAGACTAAGAACATATACAAGTTCCAATATGTTTAATGTGCAGCTTTATAAGCTTATGGTTTAATCTTTCATGGAAAAACTCTAGGCCTTGCATATTTTCCTATCATTTTGATATTTTAGACAACTTTATTATCATACTATTCTACTTTATTTATTATGTATACAGTATTCTGCCTACATGTACACTTGCATGCCAGAAGAGGGCACCAAATTTCACTATTGATGGTTGTGAGCTACCATGTGGTTGCTGGGAATTGCACTCATGACCTCTGGAAGAGCACCCAGTGCTCTTAACCTCTGAGCCATCTCTCCAGCCCTACTTTATGCTTTTTTATACAACTCCCCAAGCTATCTAACAAATAGTACAAATTATGTTATAATGGCAAAAGTTATTTGTAGTTTGTTTTTAATGTATGATAGCTTTCTATAAATGGCAAATTCGAGGTTTTGTTTGTTTGTTTTGGTTTGGGTCCTTTCAAAATCCTATTACTTACTTTGTCTGCAGCTGCCAACAAGTTGTCCGCCATTTTATCAAGATTCGGTGCTTTTCCCGTGTAAACAAATCTCATCATTTCTTTAAAAACCTCAGGATCTAAATCATTTATTTCCACTCGATTCTATTATTGTAAACAACACAAAAAATTAGAAACAGGTACATATAAGTGACGCCACATAAATCTTCAACAGTTATTTTATAACATTTTAAAACTCTATTTTAAAACTGAGGTTAAGCAAATCTGTAGTTAAGTTAATCATCCAAACTACAGTCTAGGCAATGCTAAGAACAAAAGCATACACTGTATAAGAGGTATGACTGGCCACAAAGTGAATAAATGGATAGTGAGACCATGTTGAGTATTACTGTGTGGTTAACTTTCTCATATTTTTATATTTATAAGAGAAAAAATACCGCAGTGGAAATGAAATACATCTGTGTCAGTTTCTGAACAAAGTTGCAGAGTAGTTATTGCCTTTCCCTGAGTATCTAGTATAATATCTAAACCTTCTATCACTAACTCTAGTCACATCATTACAGGACAGAAGAGTCTGCACGTATCTGTGATGAGAGCTCACAAGCTGAGAACACTTGCTTTTGAAAAATGCCATGTGCTATTATTTACTAGTCCTTCTGTGCTCACTTGAGATTTAAACAAGACCAGTTCCTCTTATGCTTCTGTGGCCTTATATCCAATTCTCTTCTAAGATAAAGGAAGCAGAAAGTGTCAGCACTTCAGAAACCATGTTTGGTCATTTTATGAAGTCATGATGTTAGGAACATAAGTGAAATCATTTTTTGAAACTTAAAAACCATTTAGTGTAATTTATTACCTGGTGTCTAGGCTTGCCACCAGGAAGCGCAGATAAAGCTAGGCCACAGAAGAAAGCCCCAGTAGGCAACCTGGCTATTCAGATAAGGAAGTAGCCTAGAGCAGGCCTTGTTATGCTAATGAACTAACCTCAAGGTGGTACTGAGATGCTGGTGTAACAAACCCAGCTGTGAGGCCTGACAGATCAAAGCTACCACCTACTAAACTGATACAATTGAAAATTTTTGAAATGGTTCCTAGAATCACACTGTTCTACTGCAGAGAAAGGTTTCTTTAGCTTCTGTTGGTACTTATTTGTAAGAAGATTTGAGACTGTGAGTGGCCCTAGGCTCACAGAAGCCTGCCTGTTAGTGATGTCGCCTATGTCCTCTTGAAGTTTCCACCAGTGTTATCTTCCAGTCTTTTCAATCTGGATATGGGATGAACCTGCAAGCCTCTCAAGCATCCTCACTGCTCTAATATCTGAGAAAATGTATTTCAAACTTCCAACTCTAGTAAGAAGAAATAAAAGCTACTTTATACTGACTAGGTAAACAATCCAGTAAAAGAACATCACAAAATGTAAATGTAAAACACCTTCAACACAGGTAGACCCAATGTCATAAAACACATACAACAAAAGATATTAGCATCAACATAACAGTGGGAGACTTTAATATGCAGTCTTACTATCAGACAAGACCATCCAGACAAAAACAGAGAAGCATGAAATGACCTCAAAAGATCCAATACACCTGACAGACATATCGAACAGCCCTCCAACCACACACTACAGAATACACATTCTTGTCATAAGCCCGTGAAAATTTACCCTAAATAAACTACAGATGGAAGACAAAGCAAATCTCAACAAAACATAGGGAAACTGAAATAACTGCCTGTATCCTATCTGACCACAATGGAAGAAAGGAAAAAAAAAAAATCAACAAAAAAGAAAAGCAGAGAAAACACACAAACTCAAGAAGATTAAGCAATATAGGGAATCCATCAGACTTTAGTGTCAGTCTGTACCACCAACCCCTCCCACAATCCTTAGACGTAGGCTCCTTATACAGGGCCCACCCAGTCTGGTGAGCCCTGCCTGCATCTTTCAAAAACTTCAGATTTTTCCCTGGTTACAAAACTGTGTGCCACTCTACCCTGCTGAGTCTCTTTGACCCTAGCCAGTCTGTGACCTTGCCAATTCCCAGATCTAGCCAGGGATACAAATGTTGGCCTAATTTTATTTTTATTTATTTATTTTTTTTACTTTATACCTAAACCACACAAAGACCCAACCAAAAAAAAAAAAAAAAAAAAAGAGAACTTCAGACCTCTCTTATGAACACTGATGCAAAAACACTCAATAAAATACTTGCAAACTGAATCCAAGAACACATGAAAGATATCATTCACCATGACCAAGTAGGCTTCATCCCAGGCATGCAAGGATGGTTCAATATACGGTAATCCACCATATAAACAAACTGAAGGAGAAAAACCACATGATCATCTCCTTAGATGCCGAAAAAGCATTTGACAAAGTCCAACACCCATTCATGTTTAAAGTCTTGGAGAGATCAGGAATACAAGGCACATACCTAAATATAGTAAAGGCAATATACAGCAAGCCTATAGCCACCATCAAACTCAATGGAGAGAAAGTTAAATCAATCCCACTGAAATCAGGGACAACCTCCAGGTTTACCCCAGGTTACACATTATGTACATTTGTCCAGTCTGGTGAGACTCCCAGGCCACATTCAGTCTCCAGGACTACTAAAAAACGTATCTGTGTGCAAGCTGATGCTGTTGAATCCTGGAAACTATGTCAATCCATGACATCTCCAACCCTCAGGTTCAAAATCAGTCACACACTTATATGCTAGTATGGTTAAAAAAAAAAAATCCAAAAATAAGGTAGAAAACAAAAAGAAAAACTGTGAGTTAAAATCCAGAAGGCATGAAAATAAAACATTTCATGGTTTGCAAGACAATCACTATCAATCTAAAAAGATACATCTAACAAAGCTATCTTTCAAAACTGGACAAATAGAGACATTTCAGGAAAAACACAGATTAATTCAATTCACTACAAATAAACTGGCACTACAGAAAATCCTTAAAGGAATTTTATACACGGAGGAAGGAGAAAACAACAACAACAAACCAGCCATATCCACAAAACAACTTGCATTCCATGAAGGGAAGAGATGAACAAACAAGAAATGGGAAAGAATCAGCTATGACCAACACACACACACATGAAAGAGAGAGAGAAAAAAAAAAAAAAACAAACCTGATAGATGCTATTAAACCCTGTATAAATTATACAGATTTGTGATTAACTCCTAGAAAAAAAAAAAA